CACACACACACACACACACACACACACACTCATACACTCAATATATAGAATTAATTCAAATTCTATACAAAATTAAAATATAACATATTTGCAGACATTGAATGTCACTGGAAAACTTCAAATGATAATCTAGCAATAGATTTGAGATTCACTATATTAACCTAATTAGCAATGCTTTTATAAAAGTAATAATTGAATTGAATTGAATCTATTATTATTATTTAGACCCATAATACATACAACATAAGCTGATGTCCAATAATATACTTTTACTTTAATATACTTTTTAACTAATACAAGTGGGCTAGTAGGTAAGCTTTTAGCAGCACCTACACACACTTTTTTGAGCATAGTTACCGCGAACGAATAATTTCGTTATACCTATTTATTGTTATAATAGCCGAAAAGATATCTAAAAATAATCTAAAATATAGGAATTGGTAATACAATAAATGGGGAAAAAGTTTTTATATTCAATTTTTCTATATTTTATTTATTTTTTGTTGTTGTCTTTGAAATCGATAAAAAGTAATTGAAATATAAATAGAAATACGAAAATAAATTTTTCTCCGGCAAAATGTTTTATAATAGAAAACATAGAAATTGATAGAAATTTATTTTTTGTACGATTTTATTCTCTAGTATTTTTCATCGAAAACAATAGAATATACAAGAATTCAATCATAAAAAGCAAATATAAACTAAAGAATATTCTGTGTATAAATTTTTGAGTCACTATTTCACAATAGAATGCAAACATAGGAATAAAGTATATATTGTTTTTCTATAAACACAAAGAATATTCTTTTGGTATTTATTTATTGAGCTTTTATTGTATTGAAACAAATATACAGAATATTCTGTATATAAATATGTTTATCCCCCAAAAGAAAAATTTTATTTTTTAATAGATTGAAATCGACTAATAAAATAAAAAAGTATAACTTATTTTATATACAATATGTATTTTGTGCGATTTTATTGTTTATTTTTTGCCATACTTTTAGTTTATTGTTTAAAAAATATATTAATGGTTTTTTATAGTAAATATATTCCTATTCAATTCTATTGTATCAACGATTGGTACTTCAAATTAACTATTAACATATTATTTAAATATAATTTTTTCATGAAATATTTTTTAATCATTTTAGGATTTGTGCCAGGCACATTGATTTTTTAGTAGTTTGCCTTAAGATTGTTGATTCAATGGCTAACTGACTGTAATTTTGAGAGAGAGAGAGAGAGAGTCACAAAAATAATAATATGATAGCTCTCTATCCCATTCTCGCTGTGTTTTTATGACATATTAAAGAAAAATATTGTTTTTCATATAAGAGAGAAAGAAAACGATTTCAAAAAAACTAATATAAAAATTGTTATTTTTTCGCAGTTATTATTATTTTTATTATTATTTGTTTTACAGTTTTATTTGTTTTCACTTAACGTTGAATCTCTTTGAAAGGAAAATATATAAAAAAATTGAATCTAATATTAGAAATGTCTAAAATTGTTGTACAGTATATCACCATTATAAAGACTAAAATAAAACTTAGTTACAAGAATATTAGGATATTTTAGTAAATAATTAATAATCTTGATAGTTACAGAACCATATTCTGTAGGTTTTTTGTAATTCTTCACCAGTGTTAGCATTTATCAATAGTCAGCCCTAATATTTCTAATAAACAATATTTATTAAATATATTTTAATGCTTTTATTTTTTATTAAAACTCATTTTGAATTATAAAGTTTCATACTGCAAGCATACTTGTTTACTCAGCGCAATAATTTTGAATTTTTAATATAGTATATTAAATCTTAAAAACTTAATGTTATTTATGTTTAATATTTGAATAAATACTATGCAGTTGAATGAGTCGAGAGAGAGAGAGAGAGAGAGAGAGAACGTATAAGATGAGAGAAAATTGTTTTTATAAGACTTAATGCAAACGCTTTGCATCTGTTATTTGTTTTCATTAATTCTTAATACAAACTCTCATTCACTCAACACATAAGCTATTGATTTATAAATAAAAACAACATTTCTATCAACCAATCTACCGTATACTGTAGTTTATTTCACTATTTATTCATAGTACTCATCCCTGTCCCTATGTATGGGGGCAGGTATTAAAAATATACTTTATATGCGTATGTATTTAGGAGGTGAATGAATGTCTATTTTTATTTATCATTCAATTGCATTAACATTAGAAATGATAGTAACAATAAAAATATATTACAGAATATTCTCTATATTTGACAAACTTTTACCAATTTTTTTAATAAACGATAGTTTAAAATAATTTTTTTTGTACTTTCCTATTATCTCTATTTTGTATGAATATAATGATTATTATTGACTAATATTTAGTCGCAATAAATATGATCAGAGGTGGGATGGCATCATGAGAAATGGTGGTTAATTTTAAATACATAAATATACTCGATAATTATATAAATTATAATGTTTACCGGGGGTAGTTTTAATATGAGCACACATACCTGTCCACACCTGCATCACAAGCACACAATTGGGAAAATAATTTGTCATTTATTTGTTTTATCAAAACTTTTTATATAGATATTTATTATATAAATACTATTTATTATTAGGTTTTATGTAATATAGTCACGAATTTATTATTATTATTCTTTATTATTCATTATATTCACTGACTTTTCAAATACGAAAGCAAAACAAAAAACTTTTATTTTCATTATTATTATTTAGTCCTAAGAAATAACTTTTTTATATCAAGTTTTTCCATTAGTTATATAATACGCTGTTTATAAGATTCATGTGTTTTAATGTCTAAATGAAGTCTAATATTTATAATAATAATAATAATACAGTAATAATAGTCATTCAACGCACACACGGTATGTAATTATTAGACAATATTCTAGATTTATATACGAAATATACATGTATAATAGACAGCCGGGAAGTGAATGGAAATTGCTATAATACCAGTGCTTTAATTATTGCGATCCCAACCCCCGGTTTGTCTAATAAAACTAAATGGGGAAATCATAAAAATCGAAATCATTGTTTTGGATTCATGTTATCAATGATTTTTAGTGTGTCTCTCATTCAATGTCTGATAATTGCATCGATAAGTCAATCGCTATATAAAATATTTATTAAAATAACAATATTGAGAAATCTATCAATCAAACTAAAGTATAAATTTAAATAATACTTGTGTCTAAATTATAAGCACAAAATTTGCTTATTATTATACAATATAATAAATTATTAATTTAATTAAATTAATACTATTATAAAATTTACTATTAGCGCACTTTCATACAGAATATTCTTTAAGAAAAAAAATTAATAAACTTTATATGAATACTTCTTTACTTATTATACCTCATTATCCATTACAGAGCAAAAGGGCCTGTCTCGATTTAATCGGCGGTCACACCATGTCTAACCATCTCTTAAGCCAAAGCCACAGCCCCGGTAGTCCACCGCCTGTGCCGCCGCCGCCCGGCCTAATGAACGAGCTATTGGCGAGTATAGGGGCGGCCAATGGGGGCCGACTGTCACCGTCAACGATGGCCCTGATGTCGTCCCAGTTGCAAATGCAACAACTGTTTCAGTCGCACCTACTCAGCCCTAATCAGCTACAGTCGCTTATCCAGCAACAGCTCCTACATCACAATAAGGTCCGTGCCTTTTGACTATTTCTATGCGGGTTTACTAACACTTTTTGATTCAGCTTTTTATTATAAACTATTGACAATTTTAACAATGTATTAATGATTTATAATTAAAATAGAAGTTTAATTAAATTATTTATCCTAGGCTATTGTGTGTTGCTAACTTTTAAATCATTAATAATTTTTAAACCATTAAAATTGTATTGATTTAAATTTAATATAATGTACCGATAATTAAAGTTAGACTTTATTAATTTGTTGTCCACATGTTTATGAAAATAGAATACAAAATATTTATTCATCATTTTGTGTTATATTTTATTATTGATTTGTATTATGAATATAAATATGGCGCACGTAAATATCTAATAAAAATTATATTTAATGGATAACTGAATTAACACATTTAATTATGAACAGGGTGCTGACGCGGTGATACCACNTAATTGAATGCCAAGAATTTCAGGGACACCAATCACTTAGGAATATGTGTTTAGTACACAATATATTTATTCTGGTTTAACATAACGCTGTGGAAGTGGAAAAAGCCTTAGAGACAAGAATATTCTGTTAGCTCCGGTATCTCTGCACTGTGTAAGCGTGCGGTTCAGTCATAGCTCGCTATAACAAACGTCAGAATATTCTCAACTCAAACAAACAAATTCTTACACAAAGGCTGTGGTTATAAAATATTAATATTTATTCTGTGTGTGTGTTTATGCAAATAGACCTTGGACACTGTTTATTTAGCTATTGAAATTAATAGTGAATGTGTGTGTGTGTGCACACTGTTTACAATAGTCGGGTGTAAATGTATTTGTTAGAAATTCAATTTACTGTTCAGAATTCTCGGATAAATACAAACTATTAACTTGCAATAAAAATCTCGTTAACAAATTATTGTTCAATACAATTTTGCATAATTGATTTGCCCAGGTACGCGAATTCCTATCTGGAAGTGCCCAATTACCCGGGTCAAACTCCTATTAAACTATTAAATACCAGGTCCAATTATTATATAGTATGTAGTCATATATTATTTTTCAAATAAATTTATGATAAATAACTTTTGTTTTCCAAATAACATCAAAGAGTAGCCGTGTTTTAAATTAATATATTTCATATGACTTTTGCTATACAAATAACTAGCGAGAGATAGATAGATAGATAGAGAGAGAGAGAGAGAGAGAGAGAGAGCAGTGTAGGGAAGGGTATCTAAAAATTCTTACCTAATATATACTGGCGCTGGGATGAGATGTGCAACTGTTGCATAAGCTGTTGCTGCTCTAACTGCAACTGTCGCAACTGTAGCTCAATCTGATGCTTACTGGCCGACTGTCCACCGAACCACCACCGGTGCCATTGCCGGATACCGGGGCCGGTGAGCCTCCGCGTCCTATCGGCGAGTGCCGGCTGTGTAAGACCGGACCGGTAGACGATTGTACTGTTTTAGAGCTACTATTATTGTCTCTATTGTTAACACTATTATTATGTGAATTATTATTTGAATTATGCGACGAATTATTATTATACTATTCATATTATTACTACTATTATTACTATTACTATTAGACGTTAATTGGTGGTAGAGTTGGCCTTGTTGTACCATGTTCAATTGTAATTGCTCCTGGAGCTGTGGTATCACCGCGTCAGCACCCTGTTCATAATTAAATGTGTTAATTCAGTTATCCATTAAATATAATTTTTATTAGATATTTACGTGCGCCATATTTATATTCATAATACAAATCAATAATAAAATATAACACAAAATGATGAATAAATATTTTGTATTCTATTTTCATAAACATGTGGACAACAAATTAATAAAGTCTAACTTTAATTATCGGTACATTATATTAAATTTAAATCAATACAATTTTAATGGTTTAAAAATTATTAATGATTTAAAAGTTAGCAACACACAATAGCCTAGGATAAATAATTTAATTAAACTTCTATTTTAATTATAAATCATTAATACATTGTTAAAATTGTCAATAGTTTATAATAAAAAGCTGAATCAAAAAGTGTTAGTAAACCCGCATAGAAATAGTCAAAAGGCACGGACCTTATTGTGATGTAGGAGCTGTTGCTGGATAAGCGACTGTAGCTGATTAGGGCTGAGTAGGTGCGACTGAAACAGTTGTTGCATTTGCAACTGGGACGACATCAGGGCCATCGTTGACGGTGACAGTCGGCCCCCATTGGCCGCCCCTATACTCGCCAATAGCTCGTTCATTAGGCCGGGCGGCGGCGGCACAGGCGGTGGACTACCGGGGCTGTGGCTTTGGCTTAAGAGATGGTTAGACATGGTGTGACCGCCGATTAAATCGAGACAGGCCCTTTTGCTCTGTAATGGATAATGAGGTATAATAAGTAAAG